GAATTTGTGTTTTGAACTACAATGCAATCCGACAGGAAGAAGATCCCCAATTGACTGCGAGGAACCAGAAATCATGCCAGAACCGTTGGTCTCGGCACATGTTGCCTTGTATGAACCACTTCATTGGTTGCTGGCGCTTTGTGAAAAAACCCTTGAAGTCTGGATGGTCTGAAGAGGACTACATCAATGCTGCAATTGCCGAGTACAAGGACAAACTCAATAAGGATTTCAAATTCGCCGGTGTCTTGGATACATTGAAGGCACTTCCTAGATTTGATCCTTACCGATCTTCTCCAATTTCATTTCCATCAAAGGACGGTGTGTGTATTGGAATTTTCCCTGAAGCACACCAAAGGCACGCTCAATATCTTTCCGTGCTGACTCCTGCATTTGGTGAATGTTCTCTCGCCACTTCCACAGGTTCGGTAATGCCCTTGACAAACCTTGCCAATGGAGGTAAATTCCATCCACCAAGACATAAGTTCGGTGGAATTGCTGATTGGCAATCTTGAAGGGCACGGCAGTCACTTCATTGGCCTCAAAAGATCCATCCACCAACGATTCGAGGAACGGTGAAATTTCCAGAATTGTTTTGTCATTCAGCGTTCCTACGTAGTCTTCAGTGGAAGCAGGATACGGGCTTCAAGGCATGATCCTCCCTTCCCGCAATAATACTTGTCTCCAGTGCCACCGAAGTCTTCAATGAAACACTGCATCCTAGAACGAGAGATACGGAAGAAGACTTGGAACTGCCGGTCGTTGAATAGAGGTGCGAGCCCAAGATAATCCGACATGATGCACTCCTTCGCCCTGGCATGATCGTACTTCTTCCTTTCTCGTCTTGGCAGCGTACGGTGATCAATGAACTCTCCAGGACCATCAACAGAGCTATCAAATAGCAAGTCTACGACGACTTGATCCGTCATGGCTCGCCTAGTTGCCCCAGAGGTGAGTTCGTCCCAATCCTCTTCCTCTTTCAGCGAGCTCTTTGAGCTGCTACGGCTCATTGCTACTTCTTCCATGGGATATCCTTGTTGGCAGGTATTGCTATGCCTGTTGCTATGCCTGTTGCTATGCCTGTTGATGAGGCTTTTGTGTGTTGATGTGGCTACAACCAAAACAGCGACCTGGTCGATCCACTGGTCGCAAAGTGACCTTGAATCGACCAGTGGAACGACCGGTCGATTTCGGTCGCAACCTAACCTCGACCGAAATGAGTTAGTGACTGAATAGGTTTCGATTTGGTTCCAGCTAAAAACCAATCGACCAATATTGGGTGCGACCTATTTTTTAGTGACTGCTCTAATTCTCTTCTGGGTGGTCACTGCAGGTATCTCGTGAAGTCCTTCTTGATGGTAGTATGCTGTCGATCCGTACGGAGGAAGAGGTACGTATCGGAGAAGAGGTACGTTCGCGGGAAGATTTGATCGATTCACGGGGTAGTGAGTCTTGAGTTCGATTCGATTTGTTGAATCGATTCGAATCGCGATTCGGATAGTCAGTTGCCTTAGGGTAAGGTTAACTGATCCTGTTGTTGCGGAGGAAGATCGATCGTTCGAAAACGAAAAAAGAGGATCGACAATGGATTTCGATGGCCGTCAGAGCGTAGCTGAGAAAACAAACAAATAGATATGGGATTGTTTTCTGTGCTGTGCTGGGAAGACCGGTGACTTCTTCTTGTGTTCAAATTCGTCCAACTTGGCCGTCGGCGTCGAGAATAGAAAACCCGCCCGATCTCGTAGGATTTCAATGGGGTGGCTTTCTAATCTGAACCGGGGAAGGCCGCTTGTATAGTCGCTTGATAGGAGAGGTGCGCTTGATAGGAGATACCAGAGGAGGGGTCGTCCTGTCAACCTGAGGGCTTGAATGAGAGATAAAGAGAGGAAAAAGGGATGGGTGTTTTCGTGATGACGTTGAGTGGATTCCTATAGTAAAACAGTACTCTTCAACGAAATAACAGATAACAAGCTTCCTGAGGTCCTTTCGCTTCGTTTCAATGCTTCTAATGGTGCTAATAGGTAGTGTAATGGTATAGGTATGACCGATTGGTTGTGTTGCTATTAGTGTTGTTGTTCTTGTAGTGACAGATCCAGAGGGGAAGCGCTTCGGTTTTCGGCTTCCCTTGAAAAAGTGAGAAGATTGTAGTACATACGGACCACAAGAATCTCACCTGCAAGAACTTCAATACCGATCGCGTAATGCGATGGCGCCTCATTCTGGAAGAATATGGCCCCGAACTTCGGTACATCGGCTCAAGGGCGAACAAAACATCGACGCTGATGCGTTGTCGAGACTTAACATCTCCAACAATGATGGTTCTTCAGAACAGATGGAAGCCAGCGAGATTGCTGAGCTCATGGCCGCAGACGAAGAGGACTTCCCTAGTGATTTCCCTCTCTCGTTCCCCGAGATCAAACATCGCCAGAAGGACGATAACGATATCAAGAAACTCCTCAGGGACAAGCCAAACGACTACAAGAAACAATCTTTTCCCAGAGGGGATAAGTCCTACGAACTAGTAGTCAAGGACGACAAGATTGTTGTGCCTAAGGCCATGCAGAAGAAGCTGGTCGAATGGTATCATGGTGTACTGATGCATCCTTGCAAGACTCGCACAGAACTTACCATCAGTCAACACTACACCTGGAAAGGGCAAGATTGTGCAGTCCGTATGTCAGCGTTGTCAAAGCTGCCAACTGAACAAACCCAAAACGCATAAGCTGGGATTGCTTCCTCCAAAGACTTGCGAGGAGATCCCTTGGGAAAGACTATGTATTGACCTGATAGGTCCATACAACGTCGGGGATCCTAAGAAAAAGAATTCCTGTACACTTCATTGCCTGACAATGATCGATCCCGTAACCGGATGGTTCGAGATTGCTGAGATCTGCTCCAAAGCAGCAGACGAAGTAGCCATCAATCTAGAACAGACGTGGCTTACTCGGTATCCATGGCCTGCTGAGGTTATCATGGATAGAGGACGTGAGTTCTGCGCAGAAGTCGAGAAGACTCTCTGGGATGAATATGGACTTCGCCGCAAGTTCATTACCACACGTAACCCTCAAGCCAACTCGATGGTCGAGCATGCTCATCAGGCCATTCGTAACTTGATAGCTGTTCAAAATATCAAGTGTCAAGACGACCTCGTAAATGGATCCTGGGTTGGAGTCCTCATGGCGGTTCGGTTCGCAATGAATGCCACGATTCATACCACCTTGCGTGCAACGCCTGCACAGCTCGTGTTCAATCGTGACGTGATTCACAATGTCCGTTTCGAAGCAAACTGGAAATACATCAAGGAACGTTGCCAACGACTTATCCAGAAAAACAATGATAGGGAGAACGCGACGCGTGTCCCGCATCAATACAAGGTCAACGATACTGTGATGATTCAACAGTATCAGCACCGCAAGTACGGTCAGCCAAAGTACAAAGGTCCTTACAACATAGACCGAGTCAATGACAATGGCACTGTACGGCTCCGACATGCTACCGCCAATGGCGGCACAGTCTACCAGACTTGGAACATAAGGTATTTACACCCATACAAGGCTTGATCCCCTTGTAGGATTGCCATCGTGCGACACACATATCTACATCCAATCTCCGGAGAGTGCCCCGCACTTTAATTCATATATTCTCCTTGTCCGACTGATGTCGTGCCTCCTGTGACCCTTGTCAGGGGGCGAATGCAATACACGGCTCTTAGCCTTATTCGCGACTCGATCCTAGATAGGGTTTGAGTTCGACTCATGACGTAGTCCTTCGCGAATAGTCATTGAGACAGGGTTCTCATGACCACTAGTCATACTAGGTTGTCGATGAAACATTGGTCTAGATATTTAGCCGGCGTGGAAAGCTTCCATGCTACTAGACAACTACTAGCGGAAGTTTCCACATGTTCCTACCATAACCTACGATATCACACTTCGAGGCCTCCGGCGGGAGACCAACTTCAATGAGCTTCACAACGATCTCTCTCATGGATTAGTTTTCGTAGCTTTCTAATCTCTCTCATAACTTTCATTCTCTCAAACTCAAAACACTCGAAAGATCTTTACACTAGCTTTTAGCATAGTGCATGATGCAACTACAATGGTCAGGAACTTAGGTCGAGGAGAAGGAAGCAAGGAGCGATGGAAACGGAGCAAATGAATGGACAGATGAAGGTCCACAGGTTTAGTAAACTGGGAAAGCCCCTTCAGGGCCAACCATGCACTTCAGGAAGATAGATCGACTAGATCTATCTGCAGATGAAACTGCGAGAAGCAGAGGATCAAAAGATCCTGGTATATGTATGCATATCGGAGCTCAGTCTGAGAGCTCACGATCTGAACGAGAGAGAAAGAGAAAACGAAACGAATAGCCAGTCTACTAGACAGTAGAGCTGGAAAGATACTGATTAAATTAGAGAAATTGTGCATTCAAGTTCACACCTTTTCAACACGTGTTCGAGTTGCGAGTTTCGTTAGAGTTGGGGATTTTTTGCCATGACTGAGTTCGGCATGCTCGAGCGTGTTGATTGGTCCTACGCGAATTCTTTTTCCCTCATAATTTCAGTACGGCGAATTGAGAATTCAAAATTACTGATACGGCGTACCGAAATTAATGGGCAAAAAGAGGGAAAGCCAGCCGACTTTAACAGTTATCTTGATTTCGCGTATGCAGGGAGCAACAAACATGTGGTTCTAAAGGACCTTGCCTCAGCTAGCTAGCTTGGGCCAATGGCCATGGTGGGCCTGGTGAGTCGAGTCTTTCTCATTGAGGAATCACTCTAGCACTGGGTGTAGCTGATTGGGCCGCCACACTGTTGGGAGATTGGCATTGGTTGGGCCAGTTATTATTAGCAAGCATTGCTGTGAGGAGGTTAGATCCATGCCAGTCTACGTTTCGGTTTGCACAGTTGCCGGAGTCACGAGTCGCGAAGCTTAGGGTTAGATGTCTCTCACGTCATACACGTGTTCTAATAAACGGGACCTGCCACGCAACCACAACACCCAACAGCTTCCTCCTTCCTTCGGATGAAACTATGATGCATAGCTAGCTAGAGGATAAGAAAAAGATTGACCATGGTAGAAGTAGTAGTCGACTGTGTGATTTTGCTCCCCAAGCATGCTTCTGTGGACGCCTGGTTCCACTCGCATGCGCTACTAGAAAACAACAAGCGTGGAGACTCTAGTATTCGAGTACTCCAATGCCATCCAGAAGCACCGGGCTGTGTCTGGCGAGGACTCGCACCGTGTTGGCTGCAGTCGTCCCAAAAGACGGCGCGGCGGTGTTTGTTGGCGCATCTTCAGCTTGTGGGGTTTTTCACGTCATCAACGGCAGCTAGTAGCGGTACTAACGGTATGGAAGTAGGCCATGAGGAACTCTTGGAAGAGTTGCGCGGCAAAGTCTACGGGAGAAGAGTTAGGCTGAGCTTGGAATCATCCACAACATCTACAAGTAATCACCAACAACGACGACTCTTATTGATTTGGATCCAACCACCGTCCACAACATACTATCAAACGAATTTCAGCAAGACGCTCATTACATGGGAACACACCATGATTCTCTACCAGAGTCTCGCGGCGTGGATCTCTACATTGGGCGGTGGCTTTTTCTTTTGTCGGTATTTGGGAACGGCGGTGCGATTGGCGAAGCAGCAACGACAAATTGCACTCCTCATGGGAGATCACACCATGGCATACAAGTGTACCATCAATGAAGCCTACAGTTATATTTATGCGGGACACTTTGCCAAAGCACTCCAAACGATTGATTTTGTGGACGTCCTTCACAGTCGTGTCGATACGCAAAAGCAGTTGGACACGACCATTCAAAACATGTGTCAGAGTGCGCGACTCTTTTGTATGCGAGTCAGAAAAGCCTCGAAGAAACTCAAGACGTCGCGCACGCAGCAACCGGCACGGAATATTGATGATTTCCAGAGAATACGTGTCATTCAATAATAGTACCTGGTAATTGCAATAACAAATTTCAATCCACTCATGTAATCAAGAGGGTATCCGTGAAGACTGATCAATCGCTCGCTCCTCTCTTTCCCAACCGGTAGTAATCGAACGTGGGAAATGCTAATTATGTGAATCGACTGGACAAACCTTGTTGTCGTCGAATTTTGGACATCGAAGGCTACTGGATGGCGGAGCTGCATCGTGAAATGCATTCGATTCCTCCAGAGTTGTGGCTGTAGGGTAACTTGCCTCCAAGCATGTCGACAGCAAATCTCTAACCTTCTCTCTCATTCGTAATCTTGTCCGTGTCACTATCAAGTTGAAGAAACCACTCCCAAAGTAATCAAACCTTGTTCAAAGTGGGCCACAAAGCTGTCACCTTCGCACAAACAATAAATAATCTCAGCATGAACCAGATCAGGAACAATTGCCTGCACCTTGGCTGCTCACGATCAACCCCAATAGTTGTCTCTCTCAAGTAAGTGGCTGGGAGTACGCAGTGCGAACGTACAGGCTTTTGCCTTCTTGCCTGCTGTTGGTTAACTTTGCTACGCTCGACCAACTTCCTCACGTTTACCACCTCTCGCAGAAAGAAGTGATGATGGCTGGCTGTTCCTCACTCCGTGAACCCAAAACGCGGCGGTTTCGCCGCTTCTTTGCCGTGCTTGCTCGATCAGTGGTGCAACATACGCACCGGTACTGATCATGACTGTCACTCCAATGCCATTGCTCAGACAGGAAGAAGACAATGTAAAGCTTCCCGCTGGAGCGCCAACGAGCAATGTATCTTTGACTTGGACCTTGTCATGCAGGAAGGATGAAACTTGGCCTTGCCGCTTGACTGAAATCTTGAATTCACTTCAGTGCGGGTCCTGAAGAGATTGTAGGGGCGCGTGGGATCGTTGCATTGACGCAATGGATCCATGGTCAAACGCTGGTCTGCTTGGAATTTCCACAATGGTTGCAAGTCATTCTCTCTGTGTCGATGGTGAAAGCTAATTGTGCCATCTGACTCGTAGACTCTTGATGAGACTACGAGTTCTCGCTGCAACTTCTCGGATGTGTTACGAGCGGGCCCTCGTATTTGGAAGGACTCTGGAAGCACGTCAACCACTTGATCAATTTTGATCTCAATCAACCGCTCTGCTCCAGCGACATCCATCATTTTAATCAATTCTCTGCTGTTGTGTGTAAACTCAATCACTTTGGCACGCCCAGATAGTTGAAGCAATGATCCGGTTTCGTACTGTGGAATCAATCCATCTCCAAGTTTCCGTGCGTGTAGAACTGCCAATCGGGAAGGATCAGAGTCGAGTCCTGTTTCGCGCACGTTGAGCAACCCAGCTGGCCCACCTCTACGACACGAGTGACGGTCAGTCGGTTGTCACAACGAGGATCATCATTCATAACACGATAACCGTGTACGGCACTACCTTATGAGATGCAATGGACATCACATGCATGGCTTCACAAACGTTTCTTGACTGCAACTCCACCTTCGTGGAAGATAATATCAGCAAAGCTTGTTTGGAAACAGAGAGTAGATTTTCGTGTAATACGATCTGGCGAGTCCTTGGTTTGATCCCTGAAGATTCTTTCAGCATGCTTCTCTTCTTGTTATTGACGAGGTGAAATTTGGGTCAATGTAAAAACTGAAGTGAGCTCATGAAGTGAGACTTGGGTCTATTGTCAGAAGAAGCAGAGAGCCAACTAGCTACACGAAATGTTGTGCCGGACACTATGGGGCACAATGATTGCATTGGCTGTTGAATTCTTCTAAATTTTGTGTTTCTATCTATGTTTGATTATTCCATCTATTCTTCTAACTTGTTTGGTCAGGGCCTTGCAAAGGCCTCAACATTCATACATTTCCACCAGCATTGTTTGCTCAACCCAGGAAATAGCTCAGCCATCTCTAGACCAGCCTCTCTAGAGAGCCAAGGCAGCACCAGCAATGGCTCCAAAGGCAGCAAGGGAAGCCATAGCAGTGTCCGCAGATGATCCTGCACCATGATTCTTCTCAACAGCAAATGGCTGGGGCTGGACATCAACTGTTTCAGTCACCTCACTCTGAAGCTTGCGGTGACCATCCACGATCTGGACATTCTTACGCAAACGACGGCCAGCAGGTGCTGCAGCAGTTCCTCCAAGTTCCAAGAGAATGCTTCCAACTCCAGTCAAGGTCAAGGCTTCATAATCATAAAAGTCAGCAAACAACAAGAAGGAAACCAAACAGATATTGTTATCATTTCCTTCATCAACACACTTCTTGGTGGAGAAGATGGTCGATGCAGGTTGAGATTCCGTGATGATGAGCTGAGAGGGCTCTGCAGCTTCAGCATTCTTGACTGTGAACTCCATGATATCCTTGACTTGGAACTGTCCTGTTTCAACCCTGAAGCAGACATTGAGGGTACTTCCTTGAGTGGTGACAGCATCAGAACCATCATTGGTAAGAATGGTGTAGCTGTCAGGGTCACAGAAGTATGCCAAGAGGGTTCCATCAAAGCTGAGATTGGTGTCCTCAGCATCGGTAAAGTCCTCGGCTTGAGTGACAGTGTAACCAGTCAACTCAGGAACTTGGGTAACCAGATTAACATTGTAGGTAAGAAGGACTTCTGCATAGTCAATGAGAGTATCAGCATCATAAAGTCCAACCTCAACACAGAACTCCACAATGGCATTGACAGCATCGCCAGCATCCCTATAGATCAGATTGTTTCCAGCAATTCCTTCAATGAATCGAAAGTCCACAGCATTGTCTGCGCCAGGGTTGTTGATAATACCACCATGATCAACTTCAATTCCAGTTACATTGGTTGTGGGAAACCAGTGGCCCACAGCCTGGCGGTTGGCTGTGTCCTTGCGGCACAAGTCAGTGACCTTAATCTTGATATTGGCACTGGCAGCACCATTACCTGTTCCAGTCTCAAAGGTGAATCCCTGGTCCTGAAGGGTTTTGATGGTGACATGCCAGTCGGTGATCTGGAGGTCACGTTCAGAGGAGTCTTCAGCAGCCATGGCCAAGGCCGGGATCAGCAGAAGCAAGAGGGAAGAGATGAACTTCATTTTTTCTTCTTTGATTTGTTGATGTGCTTGAAATTTGTTTTGCTTGCTTAGTCTTGCTCTTTTGAATTTGTGAGCCTGAAAGAAGAGCAGGAGAGCTAGCAGGAGATAGGAGCCGGAGAAGGATTGAGGCGCACAGGTTCCCTCAAAAGTAGAAAAGTAGTCCAGCTAGAATGACCGTACTCCCCCCGTGCATCGCCTTCTCGTCCAGTGGAGCTGGGAAGACTTATTAAGATTACCAAAACATTTATTGACTCATTGAATCACTGGAGATGAAACTGGCATCGTCGAGAACACCGCAATTCCAAGCTCTAGCGTCAATAAATCCTACAATTTGACAGGTCATTGCTGTGAGGATCCGTCACCAGTGAGGGTGTTCCAGTGTTCTCTCGCCGACCGCACGTATAAAATTCCCCGGCCAACTAAAGCAGCACAATTAATTTATTTGTTGCTTGTTGTTGATCATCAACAGCGCAGCCTTACGGCTGAACCCAGAATAGACTGGGTGCTGGTCATGGCTGGATCCCACGGGTTGCCTCATCAACTAGTCAGGCTGAAACGAACTTCTGCTGATTGGCCCCCTAAGCAAAAAAGCGCTCCAGCTGAACTTGTGACGTTTTGCAAAGCAAAAAGCGCGATCCAAGGGACTGGCGTGGGAGGTAGTCCAATCTGTCGTCTGGGTGGTTTAAAAAGTATGCCTCTCTACGTTTACTGATTCTATTTCGCCACACTGCACCAAAACCCTTCTGCAGCAGAAAGAAAAGGCTTGTGCCTCCTGGCTGGAAGAAGTCCTGAGAAACCAGCACCAGTGAATCCGGACAAAGACGGGCCCCGCTTGGCCATGACCGGAAAAAAACGACCTCAGATGAATGGCAGAGCTTTTTAGGAATCAGCTCCTTCCTGTATCAGTCGAGCCCTCCACGTAGGGCGTTCGAAAAGTTTGCATCTACTTCTTCGCCTGACCTGGAATTGGATGTGGTTGGCGCCAATACCTTGAGGTGTCGACGTTCGGTTTAACTCGTTTCTCCATACGGTACCACTTGTAGAAGTCAAACATGAATATTTCATTGATCATGGCCGTGGTCTCATCTGCAAGATCGGCCTTTCCGAGCCACCTCGGTGCATGTCCGAGGTTCATCGCCCTGGTGTGATTCGCGCGCTTCACCGCGGCCTGCTCGAACACTTCCAGGTCGATTTTCTTCCCGGCCATGTTTCCATAGTTGTACTTGGAGAGGTATTTGCGACAGCCATCGACCAACGCTTCGTATTTGATCACGTGATGAACGCGTGTTGTGTATTTACTTTGCGGAACGAGCTCCATCCCATCGGGTTTGTGAGGGTTGTGCCCTTTGGTAAAGTGGGCCTGCAGGAAAGCATTCATTCTGATGGGGTCTTCTCTTTTCCGCAGATAGTCATCCATTGCTACACTGCCCATGTCAAACAAGATGTCTTCGTCTTGCCTTGGGTGATGACCACGTGGGTATCCGTGTTTCCGATCAAACATGTGACGGTAAAATGCAATGGCTCGGTCATACGGGTTTCGCACCACCGTGAACGTCTTGGCCTTGGCCGGGTCGGGCTTGGAGAGATCACCGTAGGGGCTCTTGGGCCACAGTTTGAGCGGCACGTACCATGGCGACTCGAATTGTAGCATGCCATTCATTTGGACCTTTTGAGAATCCCGAAAATCCCCACTCTTTGCCGGGCACTCCCATTCTTGAAACTGATCAAAATGACAGGCTCCCCACACAATTCCAGCCCTCGCGGCCATTCGCGTCAAAGAACTCGCGGCACCGGCGTACGGGATCGCTACGAGTTCCAACGGCCCCTTGGCAATAGTGTTCTTGTGATTTTTGGTTCGCGGGTGTTTGTAGGTACGACGATTAGTGACCCCTGATGTCGTTTTGTTGTAGTCCTTGTAGAACTTAAAGTCGTTGTTGAAGATGGAATTGATCAATTCGAGTGTTTCCGGATCGAGTTCACCTGGTGTCAACCAGTCTTTGGCCTGTGCTTCCTGTGCTCGTTTCTCCTCGAGGATTACTTTTAGCTGCTCACCAATCCCCGTATCCGTATAGTTGTATTCTTCTGCTAGTTGTTGCCAATCGCTTTCGAGTTGTTCGTATTTGAGAATGTGCTTGACATAGTGCGGTTTGTCCTTGTTGGCAAAGAAATCGTACATGGGCATCATGTCAAAGACTCCTTTCATCCAGGGCTGTGCCTCCCACGGTCCCTTGTCTTGGGCCAAATACGCCTTCAAAAAGAAATTAATCTCCTCGGGAGATTCCCGTTGCCGAATGTACTCGTCGCGGTGCGTCGTCGCGCTCGAATTCTTGTTCATGGTATCGTACCAAACCCGAAAGAAATCGAGCGCCCGGGTGTAGGGATGCGTGACCACGGAGAATCGGACGGTTCCTTCGAGCGGATCGGTGTCCCACGGATTCCACGGCAAATGCCACGGGAATTGTGCTTGATGATAACTGCCTTCCAGAACGTGCCCAAAATTGAAATCGCCACTGTGGACTGCCTTGGAGCATTCGTAGGGGTCTTCCTTTTGATTGTTGTCGTAGTAATGACAGGCTCCCCACACGACGTTGGAACGGGCGGCCGCTCGTGTCAGGAGGTCGCATCCCGTGTAGGCAATATCGACCAATTCCAAGACTGGCGCCGGTTCGGCTGTGGCGAGTTTGTTATTGGTTGGGAGTTGATTGCGGGATCGTTTGGAAGCGGCCTGAATGATAACGACCTTGTCAATTCCCGGTCCTTTGGGTTCCTTGTACAAGTCTCGTGTTGGCTGCATGGTGGGTGGATCGGTGGGCGGTTTGGTCGGAGGCGGTGTCGTGGGTGCCGTGGTGGGTGCTGTGGGCGTTGTTGTGACATTCACCGCTGTACTGTTGCTGGCAGTCTTGTTTTTGGGGGGTGGGATCCAGAGGGGTCGATGCTGCCATTCGGGCATGTCGAGTGGTTCCGTGGACAGCTCTGTGACGTTGACACCGTTGACAGTGTAATAGACATCATTCCACCCTTCCGTTTGCCATCTAGTACTACCCCTCCACATGTCTTCCAACATTTTTTGCGTCTTTTTCTTGTTGGTGTGTTCCTTTTCCTGGGTATGATGCTCTTGCGACTGTGAAATGGTTCGAAAGTATCCTTCTCCGGGTCCACTGGGTCGATAGGGTCTTGGAAACGATTTTCGATCTGGTTGTGGACTCATGAGCAATCCGTTGAGTCGAATGCGATGCCACAGGTCGTCATCTTCTCCACCCCAACCTGATTATTGATATGATTCATACAGTTCAGTAGAGTACAGTTCGTTGTAGTTATGGAAGGGTAGAAGAGATAGATGTGGTGAGCACGACGTGCAAGCAACACAAAAAGACTACTGGAGATATCCTTTCATCCTTCATCCTTCATTTTCATCATCCATCACACAATACTCAATAGAAACTCACCTAAATAATCATTGCTCATTCCATTAATTTGTTCCCAGTGTTGTAAACTCAATCCAGTAATGCCTCCACAGTATTGGACATAAGGAATGGCCCATTTAAAGTTTTCCATATGCGATGCCAAATGAATGGGTTTGCGACAACTCGTATACGGGACATGACTGGTGCCATTGGGAATGAGATCGACATCGTGCAATGTCACACAGGTCGTATCGGGTGCTCGTTGTTTAATCTCTTGCAATCCGACATTGGTCAACCATCCTCGATTAAATAAACTGGTATCATTTTGTTCAATTACATAGACCGTAAAGGTATCGTCGGGGAAATGGCGTTGGAGATACGGACGCATGTATTCGAGGAATTTTTCCAAATGAAACGCCCGATCTCGATAGGGAATCAAAATGGCGTGTTTTTGTGGATTGGAGGTTATGGGGGGAGTGGTTGCAATTTTGGTGACAGGAGGGGCTTGGGTGGTGACGACTTTGGTAACGGCAAAAGATTGCTGGGGAGGATTGGGATAGGCTGTTTCTGTTGCTGCTGATGCTGCTGATGAATATTTTGGTGGCAGTGATGCTGATACTGATCTTGATACCGTTGCTGATTGATGATAATGCCGGAATACGTGTGGATTGTTGGTGGTAGCATTATTGCTTGTGGGTATCAAAGAGTTACTGGCAGTAATAGTACTAGTATCAATGGTTCTATCAGTGGTGGTATCTCTTTTGGTGGGTTGAATGACTTCTTCTTCTGGAGTACTAGTACTTTGTTCAAAGAGTCGAGTCTTGTGGAACATGAAGAAAACGATACATAGAATTCCAGAAAAGATAAAGCGAGCCCAACAGGACGTGCTTGTTTTTGTTCGGTTCCGTCTCGTCGTCGTCGTCTTGTTACTGCTGTTGGCTGCTACCCCATTGCTGCCCTTATTGTGCCCATTCGTCACATGGGATCTGGAGGATGAGACGGAAAACATGGACATGTCTTGTGCTTAATTGGCAGGCACCTCTACTGGTTATCCAGCCGGCCAGCTAGCTAGCAGTGTTGCTAACTATACAATTCTAACCAACGGTTTGCTTGAATGATAATGATAATGGTAGCAGCACACAATCCACAACCTCACAATCCCCAATGGTTGTATGTTGTATGCATCCAATACAGAATCCAATCCAATGGCCAAAGGCACAGTACTGTACCAGGAACCAACGGTCAACAGCTGGGCCAGCCAAGAAGGAAATGAAACAGCGGTAGCTTGGGCCAGTCAGTCGTTGAATGCCACGGACAAATTTTTGTACGTAGGTACCGGTGGTAGCGAATACGCAAAAGTGCTGCCGACTTGCGCGACCTTGACTGGGTCTTGCTTGGAAGAGAAAATGAAATTTTGGGCCTCCAAGCAAGGGTCTTGATATGGGTTGGTTATCGGCAGGAGGAAAAAAGAAGGGGGGAGGAGGGTGAGCGTCCTTGTGATGACGTCTCATATCTCGGATACCCCACACACTTCCACGTGTAGCTTACACCTGTCTGATCTTTAACTAGAATTGCGTCACAACATGTCGCTTTCTTAGGTTTAACTCTACTTTCTATTCAATAGCAATATCCCCGTTCCCAAATTTCCTACTTAGAGAGCGAAATTTCCTTCCCTTAACCCTACGTAACGTTTGAACGATCCAATGACGAAAATGGACTTCTTTCCATTATCTCCACCGTGGAGAGCACCACCATGACGACTCGAAAACCAAAGCAACTATCAGAGCCACAATGGCGCTTTGTTCATAGGACTCGCAAGGCAATCGACAGTGACCCTACCTTCTTCAAGCCGCAGCATGGAAGGGACTGGAAGTGTCTTTCTCCAACCAAAGGAGGTAGATTTGATAGCATGATATTGGACCAGCGTGGTGGAAAAAGCACCGTCGAGCCATTTTACATCAAGCCAATCGCAGCATGGGTACCGCACATTCTAGTACCAAACCATGTTCCTCGATGTCCCCATTGCAAGAAGCGAAACGCAGTTGATTTGAAGAAATCCAGATGGGTAAATTGCCCCAAGGTGTTGTTTGGTGTCACCCGAATTCGATACCTTGACACCATGCTTTATCTTTGCACTCGCTGCGGTAGACGTTTCGCGGGCTACAACAAGGAGTCCATGCAGCTGGACTGTTCGCTGTACTATGGCTACTTCACCTTTTTCCTTGGCCACGGATTCGCTGTTGATGATAATCTCCACAGTTTGGTGATCGAGAGTTCATACAAGGAAGCTACAGCTACTATTGCGAAAAAGCTTCAAAGAATGGCAATGACAGCTTATTATGAGGATCACCAGCTGTATCTGACAGCAATTGGCCTAGACAAGATACGGCCAAAGAAAAAGCAGAAGACTATTCAAGATTTTGTTCCAGTCGCTGGGGCACCAATCACCATGGAGCATCAACAGCTCAAGAACAAGCAGACGAGAGCCATGGCAGAAGTACGTTCTTGTAGATCCCGCGTCGAATCTGCCAGCAACCGAGCTGCAAGTGACTGGGCTTTTAAATCCATGTTGTCCTCGAAGGACAATCACAACCACCATGGAGGACGCAATTTCTTGAGAGGCCTTGGCTCCACAAAGATCCGTCGGTTGTTGGAAGCTGGTATTAACAGCTGCTTCGAATTGATTGCTGCCGACCACAGGGATTTCCCAGGAATCAAGCCAATGAAATCTTGGAAGCGGATTGTTGGGAATCATTATGACAGTTTGAAGGAAACCGTGAAAACAAGGAAGGCAGAAGTTGAAGCTGCAATTGCTGCATATAATCGATGCGTGGATGACTTGGTTGACTACGAGCGAGAACACGGTGTCCCAGATGAAACAGAAGGTGCTACCGCCGATCCTGAAATAGCTGCAGAGCCAGAAGGTCCAGCCAGATTCTCCAAATTCGTGGACAAAATGGGATATAATGGAAGAGTCCTCTCCAAATATAGAATTGACAGCATGGTGATGAGTTACTTCAAACACCGGAAGGATTTTCAGGATGCCAAGATGAGAGGTTTAACAGCAACGCTCTTGAAGATTGATTTCAATTACAAGTTGGCGCAGAAGATCAGAGTGTGGACCAAGCAAGGATGCAGCTTCCAACCATTCCAATGCATTGTCACCATTCAGAATGAAGATGGATTGACAGTTTTCTGGAAAGCGCTGAAGCACTCTGAGTCTTTCAGTGAAATAAAGGAAGATCTTGTCCTTCTGCGAAACCGACTGAATAGGAACTGGCATACAAAGAAGGAAAGGCCGGAGAACTGTCCCATGGAGCAGTCAATCAAGGTCATCTACGTGGACAACTGCTGTGGTGTCAAGAACATCCTTCGAGATATCTTCGGCACTCCAGTGTTGATTCTCCTTGATCCCTTTCACTGGTTGAAGCGCTGGAATGACATGTTGGTTGATGCCTCATCCGTACAGGCAGGTATCTTCCGTGGTCTTATGTCTCGTGCCCTTTTCATGGTTACCTCTGCAGAGTTTGAAAGAGCAAAGGAGAAGCTGTTGGAGAAGCTGAAGCGAGAACCAACTGTTAAAGAGGTGTTGAAGGAGGCAAATTCAATCATCCCAGATCCAGCAACACTTAGGAGCAACGTTGAAGCCGTCCTGAACTATGTTCAATCGAAGGATACACAGACTTATCAAGTCCTGTCCACAGGCCCTGCAGATGGCCCTCGCCCCAAGCTTTTCTTGAAACAGTGGAAAATGGCTGAAGTTGTGAGGCGACAGATGGTGCATGTAGACACAGGTTGTTTAAGTGATCCACCAACAGACCTGGTGGACATCTTCAGAAGGAATCCCAAGACAGATACTACATATGTGGCCAGAGGAACCAACACCAATGAGCGAGACAACCTTGATCTCGCTCTTCTTCTTTTGGCAACTTACATCGGTAAGTGTGATTGACCAACATCGCGCTTCATCATATTCCCTTATGTACTAACCACCAACATATTCTGTTTGGCAACTAGGAGTGCACAGGGCTGAGCGATTAATGTCATGTTTCTTTGAGGAACGCAATGACAGGAAGTCTGTTATCCGGCTTGGGGCTACTGACTATGGAATTCTGAATACAGAGAAGTTGCTTCTAATCAACGCCTATGCTGTAAAAGTGGGCTTTCCAGAAGCGCCTTATGCGTTGTCGGCTCCAAAGAAGAACACTGTCACCGAATTTCTTGGCTTTTCTTATCAAGGAATACAGACCAGCGATGTGTCTAATCCAGCGAATGGCTCTACTGATGGCTACGGCTCTGGCGATGACGGTGAGGAAGAAGCTGTCACCAATGACGAAGAAGCGATTCCACGAGAAGAGGAAGAGATCCAGCGAGTTCTTGGTGGCGAATTGGGCGAGGACCTGGACATCGAGGTCTTTGCCACCGAAGAAGAGTATTTGAATTCACTTAACGACGCTGGAAATCCACGAAATCGACAAAGAAATGAGGCTGACCAAACAAGCGATGCTGCTTTGGCCAACGATCGATTGAACAAGACCCTCATTCAACAAGAACTTGACAAACTTCTCCCAGTCGATAGTGCCGCTGAAAACACTCTCCAAGCATTCCGACGGCTGACCAACCAGTGCGAGTGGATACCATTCCGATCACCTAATAGCAGCACAGCAGCAACTGAGATTGACAGAGAGGAAGCTGATCTTTTTGTTGAGTGGTCTCCTCGGTACAAGCGAAATGTTGCAACAGGACCAACCAGTTTCAAAGCATTCGAAAGGGATTGGAATGCCGAAGTGTCACGGCGGTTTCGGTTGTGGAGTACAGAAGGTGACCAATCGGCAGTTGTGCAGATTCGATACAAGAGCAGAGTTCTTCTACAGCAACACTATGATAAGGTCAAGGAGCAGGAAAGCTTGCAGGGCGTTCTTCCTAGAGACGATCAAGATCGTGCTACACTTGATGGAACACTGCGAGCAAATCGACAAGGGCTGTCAGATGATGCAGAGCCAAGAATCCACAACACAAATCCTACAAACTACAGCAATGAAGGCACTACTCCTTTCGGCAATCCAACCACACTTAATGCAGAGGTAGCTGTTGGTGCTCTAGCTGTTGCTGCTGCCAATGGAAATCTTACCCCTGCTCTTGCAAATGCTGCTTATCAAGTCGCTCTCACTGTGGTTCCAGCAACAGCACCAGCAAGACCGAGAAGACTCATTTTCAGGAGCAGGAAGTATTGCAACACTTGTGGTTTCAAGAAGAGCGACCATGTGACAGCTGTGGAGGGAGTGGCCAAAGATTGCAAGAGAGACTACTGTGGCAGATGCAGGGAGAGGAAGCAGTTCCATGGAGCCAATGATGGCTTTGGTCCTACTTGCAGCAAAGAGATACACAACAGACAAGTTTCTACAGTTGCTGAATGGTACCAAGCTACAGTAAGTTTTGACTATTGTTACCATGACACTTATTGGATAACAAACAACAACAAGTCTTACAGCTGTTGCTTCCATTATCTTTCTCTGAACAGACATGAATCAGTCTTGGTGCATTGGGTAAGAGTAGCCACCATGATGGGCAGTGAATGCAGCTCTGTGGGAAATGTACTGCTCACTACTGATTGCCATACCACTTAGGTTTTGTTTGTGCTGGCTCCAGCACTCTGTGTCAAACCAATGACTCCACTCTGTAAGTAACAACTCCTTTGCTTCACTGTGCCACACACCAAACTGAGTATAGAGAACTCCTCTCATAAGTGGTTTGATTGCCTCTCTGCACATCTCTTTCCTTGTGACAGGTTCATGTTCATACACTTCCCATGCCAGCTCAGCAAGAACATCACTGTACCAATCATTGCTGTGCCTGACACCCCACACAAACATCTCATCCAGCAACCAACTCTGGTCAGGAGTCATTGGCAGCGCATTCCCTTCCATGATGAGTTGCTCAAGGATCCCACTGGACAGGTATCTGGTCTTTACAAGCAAGTACTGAGTTTTGGGATCTTCCCTGTCTGTTTGATCCTCAAGCAAAACATGCTTGCATACATAGCTCTGCCTGGTTTTCCTCATCTCATTGAAAGGGTAGCGATCATTAACATCTAGCCACTCTTTAAATGCATGACTAGCACTGAACAACATGGTGATGTACTAGCTTTGCTGTGGTAGACTGTAGCTGTTCAATGACTCGACGACTCTACGGAGATTGCAAAAAGTGAGGACGTTCGAAAGAGGTACGATGCACCTCTGCGAATAAGTCTTTGGGTATTCCACAAGACTCCAACGGTCACACTAGGAATTTCGAGAGTTAGGTGTCAATATTTGAATCACTGTGGAGGTTCGTACTGAAGGTCAGTTTACTTAGAGGGTAGCTTGTCTTTTGGTCTTGTATGAAATTTCAGTACTAGTCTATCGAAACCTCTACTCGCCAACACCCAAGCAAGACGACACGAGCAGGTCGCCAAGTGATGTTTGCATGCAAGGCAGCAAAATGTTTCCGATGAAAAGTAACCAGTGGGGTTCTAGTCTAGCTAGCTAGCTAGCTTCTCTCGAAAATTTTTTAAGCTAGAAGTTGAAAGGATGGGCCCCCGCAGGGGGCTTAGAAGTTTAAAGATTGGGCCCTTGGGGCCCAACCACCAAGCTAGCTAACGGGAGTGGAACACATGGCCTTCTGGCTGGCCCTCAAAGCACTGCAGCAGAACCTCTTTCATCTCTGGCTTTGTCTTTTTGATGGACTTTCCCAGGACCCTGGCCCAATTTTTCATGTCTGCGAAGCTTGTGGAGGAGTCCAACAGCTTGGCTTTGGTCAGACCGCCTTGCTTCGGAGCAGCCTTTCTCTTTCCAGTGGCATGTTGATTGATGGCGGCCATCTGAACCAGCATAACTCCCTGTCTGAGCAAAGCTTTGGCATGCTGTGGCCTCAGCCTACCCCTGAGACTAGCGTTGCCCTGCCCTATCATGTTGAAGTGCATTCGATCGAATGATTCGGCAGCAAGCTCGGCAACGTTGTCCGTGTTGGCGGCGCTACCATAGTGTTCGATTGCATGCCTGACTGAGTTATGGAAGACTTCTTCCTGCTTTGTACTCAGTTTTTTTGAAGAATCCAACCACTGGTTGACCACACAGACCTGATAGAGGGACATGGGGCTCTGGTTCCTGCTCCAATTGTTCTGAGGGCCGTGCATGGTGGTTGGGCTGGCAGATTGTGGTGTTGTCCTGCTGTCTCCTGGCAGCCTGATCCCAGGAGGCGTGGTTGGATTGACCACTGAAGCAATGGGCGCAACTGTTTCTTACTCGCACTCATCGTCGGATCTTGGATTGCGATGAATACAGCTTCCTCGGATTGCGATGAAAGCGGCTATATCCTCGGCTTGCGGTAAGTACCTCTGTGGCTACTGAATACGGATTGCGATGAATACAGCTTCCTCGGATTGCGATGAAAGCGGCTATATCCTCGGCTGCGGTGAGTACCTCTGCGAAGTACCTCTGCGGCTACTGAATGCGGTAAGTACACCTCTGCGAAGTACCTCTATGGCTATACTATTACGGATGGGATGACCTCGGTTATACTGTCTTGCTTCACTATCTGTCTCAATTCGAAATCCTCTGGATGCATGCTCTGTCGGTCTTTCGAAAACAACACGAAAACAACACCACGAGAGACTGATCGAGCTGACACAGAGATGCTATGCACGACTGACGTGCACGACTCGACTGACGTCATCGAAAAGATCGAACGATTCTGATTGGCTAAATGGCTCTACAGCGGCCTCTACAGGGGTAGGCCGATGTCGGCACGACGGTCCGGCTGTACTTTCTGTACCAATCCTTTTAACTTCTGTGGATCGAAATACCGTCCAATGTGTCATGTCACTTACGTGGAGCGCACTTACTTACATTGGCTGCGTCGGCGGAATTGCTTTTTTTCTCCCGGCTAGCTAGTAATTATTTTTGCAGCGTTTTTGGTTACCGTAGAAACGCCTTTGAAAGAACGTTGCTTCAGTTCCCAGTTTCACAACACAGGGGTACCGGTACCGGTCTAACAGCGAGAATTCTCCCTGTTGCCAACACCCGATCTTTCCGGTGGAAGCTCTTGGAGAGCTCCCTCCAGCCCCCAGACAGGTCATTCAAAAAAGAAACGGTCAGATGCTGGGGTTCTCAACAAGCATTCTCCCTGTTGGGCCCATTCTCCCTGTTGGGCGATTCCTAGCGGTGTGTCATTCTCAGTGTCTAGTTAGCTACGTGGTACCGTAGCGTGGTAGTGCTACTAGCCAGACCGTGCCCAGGGCTCACCTTTAAAACAACATCCAAATCTTTGAAATGCTGTGAAGGGAGTTCCATCAAGCCTTGAGAATAGTAGATGGTTGCTCGTCCCATCGCAGCTCAGGACACACACGCATCCACAGCGCTGAAGGAGGCGGCAAGAGGAGGAGTCTTCCTCGACTCCCAGCCACCGCCTCAGCTGTCCGCAATCTGGTTGGCATGGGCAGTTCACTAGGACTATTTAGGTACGACCAAATACACCTAGAGTATGTAGTGTCGAAACGATAGTGCTGGCAGTGGGGAACAACGGTGATATCCAGTGCACCAGTGCACCAATCCAAAACCGTTGGAACCCAACATTGAACTGAGAAGAGCCCATGTGCTGACGAACAGCGTGTCGCAGACACGATGCCGAAAGCCCCATGTCAACTGAGTCAGCGGACACCCGGAGTGGTATACAGTCGGACTGTAAACCACCTTTACTCTAGGTGTATACCCACGAAAGAAAAGACGCGAGCCAACACACTGGACGAGTGAATGAAGACGGAAATTTAAAAGTTAGGCCATCGGGAATGACAAAAAGTAGCCAGTTTACACTCTTGGAGGAGGGAGAGCCAGGCGCAAAGGGCGACCATGGCAGTCAATCAGTGGCAATAAGGGCCACTACCACCACCGTTCAAAGCCGGAGGCAATAGGGCCACACCAAAATGCATTGACGGCCTCAATCTCTGACGCAGGTGCCTAGTCAGCTCCATACCTGTCAGGAACCAAGGGCTGTCCCTGCAAGGTGTGGTGTGGGGTGTGTAGCTGGATAGACTGTCACCACCACCCCCTGGACCAAAGTCTCGCAGCGTGCCAAGTCATCTGGAAGACTTAAAGGGCGGTGCAAAGACTTAGAGGGAAAAGTCAAAGACTTAAAGGCCCCCATGTCCTTTTTTGTTGTTGTTGTTGTTGAAAATCGCGAAACGCGAAATCGCGACCATGGCCCTGGAGTCGGGACGCATGGCAACAACAGCGGCACTCCAGGGCCAGTTGGCCAAGGAGGAGGAGACGAAGCACCAGATGGTGTCGCTCAAGAGGGGAGTGAAGCACCAGATGGTGTCGCTCAAGAGGGGAGACGAAGCACCAGTTGGTGTCGCTCAAGATGGGAGACAAAGCACCAGTTGGTGTCGCTCAAGATGGGAGACGAAGCACCAGTTGGTGTCGTGGAGGTTTGGTGGGAGCACCAGTCGGTGACTCGCCGTTGGGGCTAGCGAAGCACCAGGCGGTGAACGCATCATAGCAGTGTGGCTAGCAGAAACACCAGGTGGTGAACGCATCAAGGCCGAAGAGAGCCAGTTGGCGATCTCTCATGGTGGGAGCACCAGTCGGTGACTCGCCGTTGGGGCTAGCGAAACACCAGGCGGTGAACGCATCATAGCAGTGGGGCTACCAGAAGCACCAGGTGGTGAACGCATCAAGGCCAGAGGAGAAAGGATCGACCGGTGGCAACAATCGGTCATCGGCCGAAAAGCACAACAACAAAAGGACCGGCAGATCGATCGAACGAACAAACCGCGGCTCCAGCCACAACACCAGTAGGAGCAGTAGCAGTAGCCATGGTGGCAATAGCCGTAGCAGTAGCCGTAGCTAGTAGCCGTCGTCGTGTGGTAAAAGCACACGAAAAAAATCGTCTTATCGAGTGGAAAAAGCACACGAAAAAGACCGACCGAATGATCGTTCGGACAACAAAGGCTCCAGCCGCAACAACGACCGACACCAACCAAGTAGGAGGTAGCCGTAACAGTAGTAGCGGTAGCCGTAGCTAGTAGCCGTCGCGAATAGCCTCGAAACGAAAAAGAAAAAAGGACATCATTGTCCTCTTCCTTTGGTGGCTGCTCAGAACAATGAGTGGCTCCTAGCACTATCTGCAGTCTAATTGGAGCATGTGTGCTACCACATTGCTCCGCTTAGAGTCATGGCTACAGCTTTCGTGGAAATGGATGGAAAGCAAGCCGATTTTAACAGTTAAATAGATTTCACGAAGGAAGGGAGGAATAAAGAGGTCACAATGACTGGTTAGGACCCCGCCTCAGAAAACTACATCTAAAATGAAAAGTCATGTAATGACTTCTTGAAGCTTCCATGATCAGAAAGTGCACCGTAACTAAATAATGAGCGAATTTAACAGTTTCTTTTCGTAGCTTCCCCGAGAACGTGTCTTTATGTTCTCTAAGGAATTTTCTGTTTAGATGGTTAGACGAAGAAGTTTTTGAGGCAATTTTAAAATTCGACCTTCAAAACGCGAACTACATTACGGCAACTGTACTTATGTACCAGTACTCCGTACTCCTGTAGCAATGTAGCAATCTTCTCATTGCTTCGGTGTCTTGTTTCTTGCACCTTCTTTATAACTCACTTCTGCGGCCTGCCCCTGCACTCCGCAACTCTTCACCTCTTCAGCTTCCACACAACCAAGAGTAACGATACATGTACTCGAGTACTACTAGTACTCCTTCCAAAGTAAAAACACAGCAACGACCAACAAAAGAGCAAGCTACATCGTATCACCGTAGTAACAATACAATAGCAAGATGATGAAGCCAACGAAGAAGCAACAGTCCCCGCCCACCACCTTTACGACAGTGAATAAGATGGACAATCTGATCAACGTGGCCAACGAAGATGACTTGCACTGTCTGCACAACCGCTTGACAAAGTCGCTCGCTCGAGCGGAGACACGGTCCGTACGAGTGCTGCGAATGGCGGTGATCAGTGCACTACTATTGACGGCCGGCATTGTCTCTGTGGGAGTCTTTCTGTACACTCGCAATGAAGAGCGCCAAAACTTTACCAATCACTTTGAAGATAGTGCACTGCAAGTCCTCGAGAGTTTCCATGACATGGTCGAACGGAGTCTGGGATCCGTCGCCTCCTTATCGACGGATTATACATCGTACGCTCTGCATTCCAATTCCTCCTTTCCCTTTGTCACACTGCCCGACTTTTCGTTGAGAGGAAGTCAATTTAGGGCGCAATCCGGATCGCACATTGTCCACTGGTTGCCACTGGTGCAAGAAGACCAACGCGACGACTGGGAAGACTACTCCGCAGCACACAGATCCCATATTGACGAAGAATTCGAAACCGATGTCGAGTATCGAACCAAACAAGACTATGAGCTGCGGGGACATGATGTGGGTCATCACAGACGACTGCAACAGCCAGAGGAAGAAGTAGAAACACCACCACCACGAAACATGACCATTCTCGGGGATGGATCAGGATTTCACCCCAGAATTTGGTCCAACGGGGCAATGGTGCCCCCAGGAGATGAACCCAAAGGAACCGGACCCTACTTGCCGACCTGGCAGAGAAGGTGAGTGAGAAACAAGAGACTGTCTGAAGCAGAAGCAGAAGGTATTGTTAGTGTGATTGTTCTGACACATGCATGTTTGTTTGTTACTGCCGTACTATAATAGTCCTGTCTCGGGTCAACGCCAAGGCTTTCTCAATATGAACTGGGTGCACGCCAAGGTGATTGGTCCAGGATTGTTGGATACCATGCTGCAAGAAAAGAAAGCCGTTCTCCGCAACGCCGCTGTGCCCATTCCCAAAATGCTCAAACTCATGGAAGGAAACCTGCGCATCTCGCAGTATCGAGAACATGTCGAAGACTACATTGATGGTCTCAGCACCTTCATGGTATACCCCGTATTTGATAAATTCGGAGAAGATCAAAAGTTGGCGGGGGTGTTGGCGACCAACGTCTATTGGAAAATGCTACTCAGTCATTTGCTGCCCTCCAGCTCACAAGGGATCATCTGTGTGGTCGAAAATTCATTTGGACAGGAGTTCACCTATCGCATTGATGGCCCCGAAGCCACGTTTCTAGGACTGGGAGCCCTCAACGACCCCAAGTACGACGACCTCGAATACTCAGAGAACATCAATGCGTATCTCCAACGTCGGGCCGGTCCTCGAACCAGAGCCTACACTACGGTGCCCTTGAGCGACTCTACTCAGTATACTATTCGTGTCTTTCCCTCCAAGGATACAGAAGAAATGTTTGTCACCAACAAGCCCATCGTCTACACGGTCGTCGTCCTAGTCGGTTTTGCACTGGCGTCCTTTCTCTTTTTACTCTTCTCGTGGGTCGTCGAGAAGCGTCAGCACATCATGACAGCCAAGGTCGTCGACAATGCAGAAAAAATGACCCGCACCGAACGAGAGATGCAAGAGTTTCTGTGTCATGAAATCCGAAATCCTCTCGCATCATCGTTGTCAGCCTGTTGCTTTGTGACATCGGCATTGAATGAGAATGGAGACAAGGGACTGGCAGACCCTGGAACTCTCAAGACGGTACGAGAGGACATGGATGTCGTCAACTCGAGTCTGAATTTCATCAACGACTTTCTTCGCAGCATGTTGGATATCCATCGTGCCGCGGGAAACAAGATCAAAATCAACAAGGCACCAACAGATCTCTTGCAGGATATTCTGGAACCAGTGTCGGCCATTCTCTACAAACGAGTGGCCAACTTTCAAGTGCTCGTCGAATGCCCTGAGAATCTTTTAGTCCACACCGATTGCATTCGTTTGAAACAAGTTGTGTTGAATCTAGTTCGCAACTCTTCCAAGTTTGTCGAGCATGGCTTTATCCGCATGCGAGCAGAGGTCCTGGCGAATGACGTGAGGCTGTACATTGAAGATTCTGGTCCGGGTATGCCCAAAGACAAGCAACAAGATTTGTTTTGCAAGTACCAGTCGAGTCTGGACTCACTCTCGCAGGGAACTGGTCTTGGGCTGCATCTTTGTCAGAAGCTGATGCATTCCATGGGAGGAGATGTCTGGCTGGATCCGTTGTATGACAGCGGTATCGAAGGATGTCCGGGAGCTTGTTTTGTTTTGGAGCTCAACTCGGCGCCGTTAGACATTGAATCTTCCTTGCCAACCACAGACAGCGAAAGCGAGCAGCCTAATGAAGTTGTCACTGTCGTGCCAACCGCGCCCGCCGTCGTCCCGGTCGACAAGCCCCAAAAGGACGACCCCGTCGAGCAACGCAACAAAGATGACACGGATACTTCATGTAGTACTTCCCCCCCAAGTCCCGCTCCACCAACGATGGCGTTGTTCGCCTTGCCAAGCGCCCCTCCGCTCGCGCAACCTTCGACTTCCCCACCAACTTGCGCTGTGGCCACAGATACTGTGTCGAAGCCCGACGCAAATACTGCCGCTGCTCCAGCTTCTGTTTCGACTTCTTCTCCTCCTCCAGCAGCAGCAGCAGATACCCCTGGCCCTGTACTACCCGAGAACCTGAAAATCCTCATGACGGACGATGATGCCGTTCTCCGAAAGCTGTTCACTCGCGCACTGAAAAAGGCAGCCCCTCCATCGTGGGAGATAAGCGAGGCTTCAAGCGGGGAGGCGGCCCTTCGACTGTGCGATGAAAAGCAAGAGGAAGGTAGCGCTTTTGACCTCATTTTCATGGACATGTACATGGCAAGCGTGGACAAGCAACTGCTTGGCACAGAAACGACACAAGCCATGCGAGCAAAAGGCATCCAAAGTACAATTTGCGGGTTATCGGCCAACGACATCCGCGATAACTTTTTAAGCAACGGGGCAGACGACTTCATTCTAAAGCCATTGCCCTGCAAGCCGGCTGCGTTACGAGAGACGCTCGACAGACTGTTGCAACACCGACACCGCAGCTGAGCAATCACGCGCCTTTAATGGCGATGTAAACAATAGATTAAACTTGTTATGAGCAGAAAGATTCAATGACTGCAAAGCTTGTTTCATCTCTTCGTATTACATAGCTGAGACATCAAAGCCTCATTTGGCTCATTTAAGGGCATCCTCCAAGACAACAACACAGCCACTTCAGCGGAAAGCAAACTTCGAGGTGTTGTATCAAGCAAACGTTGATACTCTCAGAGATCTACTTGATCTGCAAGCAACACCAGCACAGAATGATCCAATCCAGACCTCAAACAGGTCACTGCTTCGAAGGCTCCTGCTTCGGCAAGCTGCAAATCCCCGGCAGCCTGACATCAGAGGCAGGCTTTGAGCTGGCTTGGGTTCCTAGCTAGCTTCTATGGCAGGAAAAGGGCGTGTTGTTGAAGTAGCAACCTAGATTGCTCCAGCTTCAGACCTACAGATCCCCTGCAGTCATGACATCATAGACACACGGGGGTCCTTCAGGCCTCCACAGGGTCCCAGGATTTTCTGCACCTTCTACAGCAATGGATTATCATTCACCAAGATGCTGGGGTCCCCCCTTGCTCGGTTTGCTGAACGTTTTCGGAAATGAGATGAACCAAACGTGAGCAAATGCGCCGGCTTCTTTTACGATGTGTCGAGTCGAGTCGAGTCGATCGACTTCGGATCTTTGGATCTTTTTCATCTCAAGTCTCAAGATCCAGTGCTAAAACATTATTAGGTGTTGGCCACTCTCAAGTACAATCCAATAGCTAATCCAATCCAACCTATTCTGGTTGTGCTCATCATTATCTTCTCATCGTCGCGTCTCTCGCCTCTTCCATCAACAGGATAATCTTGCGATGGGATCGATTCGTGAAGCCGCAGTTATCCTTTCCCTTTATCTGTTACTCTCCAGCCATCCAGTAACTGGTTTCTCGCCGCAAGGATACCCCGTGTTCCGGTCGCCAAGGAGAAGCTTCAGACCATCCAACCAACGGCCAATATTGCTCTGGTCTGGATTGGATAGTAAGAATGAGGGAGAGGAATCCAGCAATCCTTCTGTCTCTGGTTGGCAACCAGATAGGATCCTTTCGTCCGTTTTGAAAAGCCTCTGGAAGGGCGTCACAATACCCTTTCCTCAACTGCGAAACACCTTGAAACCTCACTCCAGCGGATCGAAGATCAAGTTTGGAGTCAGTCTTCGAATCCGAGACTGTTTGGTGTTCCTACTTTCCTACCTCACTGTCGGTGTCCTGGCTTTTTCGTTTGTCTTTGAACGGTGGTCCATTGTAGATGCACTCTACTTTACATCCGTGTGCTTTTCTACAGTCGGGTGAGTGACAGTCTTCTCCTATTGACAGTATGATACATTCAGTCCCCTTTACAAAAAAACGAGAAATACCCTCAAAAGATCTACAACTCACAATGATCCATTTGTTGGGTTTTATTGAATTTTTTCAACAGCTATGGTGATTTGTGCCCCGAGACTGCGGCTGGAAGAATTTTCACAGGATTCTTTGGAATGGCAGGGATTGCATTCCTGGGAGCAGCTGTTGCTACAATCTGCTCCACTATTGTCCATTTAGACGTGGAATCCACCAAAAAGTACATGGAGACGGAGGGCAAGCGACGCATCTTGAACTTGTTCCAAAACAATAGCGAGAATGTTAAGGAGAAAACCACAACTGGAGAAAATCAACGCGACAATAAGCTCCATCCGATGATAGTCAAGGTTTCGTCGTGGCTGGGTGCGGTGCGTGGCTCTCTGCCCTCTCTTTCCATCATATTTTTGGGTGGCGCCATCATGAGATTCTTGGATGGAGGATGGCATAGTATCGTGGAAACCATGTACTATTCCATCATCACAGGTAAATACAGAATGTATGTGTTCACAGGCATGCTGCAAGTGCAATGATCTTGGATTGATCATATTCATGCTCCCCACTTCTTTCTCCTACAGCGAGCACCATTGGACTGGGAGACTTTTGTCCTCGAACGCCACGTGCTCGTCTGTTTGCCATTTTTTACATTCCTCTCTCCGTCGGAGCAGCGGGAGAGCTCCTGTCGAGTATTGCTACAGCATTAGTGAAAAGAAGGCAGGTAAGCCAGGAAACTGCTTGCCCCACCCATCACAACGGCACCATGACGGCAGCGTGCCGCTCACATAGCACTCTTCCTGCACCTCGCAGAAAAAGGCATACGAAACGGATCTCCAATCCAATCTCACCCTTGCACATCTTCGGGCCATGGATGCCGATGATTCTGGATGTGTAGATAGAGAAGAGTACGTCTACTTCATGCTCAAGGAGATGGGGCTGATCTCTCAGAACGATCTAGATGAGTTGTTTCAACAGTTTGAAGCATTGGATGTGTCGAACAGCGGGAGACTGGACAAGGAAGACTTGAAACTCATGGCCAAGCTAAAGGGTGCGGAGGTGCTAGATTGAACAACCGATGCGCATGCAGGAGGTTGCGTTCTACCAATAGAACAAACAAGGGGTCTCCGAGTTCCTGTTGAACATATTGAAACAAAAACATGTGGACAACCAAACCATTCGATACAAGGACACGGCTTGGTGCATGGTTCTCTGCAATCTCTTGACAGCTACTGAATGCTACCTAAAGAGGAGCACTACACAAGTTAGCATAGATGAGAGCTTCTAGTTTAAAGAGCATTTCCAGTATTGTGTTCTCGCTTGCAGCCATCTTCGACGACGAGAGAGTCGAATGCTTCTTGTGATAACCAGTGCTATGAGATGGCAACAGCAATTGTGATCCTGCTTCATGCTGGTGTACGGATGCTTTGGTTGGCGGGTGGTGGTGGTGGGATGAATTCAATTCCATTTTCGGGAGTGCAATGTGGAGTGTCTAAGTAAAAGTTGGCCGAGGGTTCTTTTCTGCTGTCTATATCACCTGTCTGTTTTGTCTCCATGAAGGCTTTACGAAGCAGCAATGCCAACACCTCCATCCACATCAAAACAGTGTCCAGTAATGTAGTCTGCTCCTTCATCAATGGCCAAGAACCTTACCATGGCAGCCACTTCTTCTGGTTGTCCAAGGCGATGAAGAGGAATCGCATCAACCGATTTCTGAAGCTGTTCGTCGGTGAGTTTGGCTGTCATGGGCGTCTCAATGAACCCAGGGCAAATGGCATTGACCTTGATATTGTCTGCAGCAACCTCCTTAGCCAATGCCTTGGTGAACCCAATGACTCCACCCTTACTGGCCGCATAGTTGGCTTGACCGGGGTTTCCAATCTGCCCCACGACACTGGCAATGTTGATGATGCGACCTCCCTTGTAGTCTGTCTTTGCGGCGGCATTCAGGAATGCCTTGCAAACGTAAAAGTCTCCACTGAGATTGACATTGATTACGGCCGCAAAGTCTTTTGGTTTCATACGAGGCACAAGATTATCCTTGGTGATACCTGCATTGTTGACGACAACATCTACTGTACCATAGTGATCAAAGGCTTGATCAAACATTTTTTCGACCTGTTCAAAGTTGGTACAATCAGCGGCAATGGCAATCCCATCACCTCCGACGGCAACAATTTCCTCGACGGTTTCCTGGGCAGCCTCATCACATCCGGGATAAAAGTTGACGACAATTTTGTGGCCGTGTTTGGCAATGTCCAACGCCATGGCCTTGCCCAAGCCTTGTGACGATCCCGTAATGAGAACGACCTTTGGGTCCTGTGCCAAATTCAACTTTGTTTTGGAGACGGATCCCAAAGGGCCTGGACGAACAAAGGCCGACACGGAGGAAGCTACAAACAGCACGAATGATAGGAAAACTCTCATGTTGATGGATCAGATATTAAAAATCAAAGAGAGGAATTGAGAGAACTGTTTTTCTTCGGAATGCAATTGAAAATCAATGAGCTATGGGTTGCATCGGTTCTGTGGAAGCTTTGGGTTCTCTTCGACGATTCCCATGGCAAAGATTGCACTTCTCATCTGTTGGCACTCCGTGTAGTTGCTTTTCTAATGAGCTCCTATCCATTGGTAGTTTCTTCGGCCATCACCCAATGAAGAGGAAGCTGTTGGATGCGTCGCTTGTGCTTTGCGCAGATCCTTTCTAGATCCTTTGTGGATGCGAGCTGGGGCGTTCCGATTTTGATATCCTTCGCTTTCCCAGGCATTCCCGCTCGTGACTTGTCCCTCACACGATGGCCGTTAATGTCAGCAAAACACCAAATTGTCGAGGATAGGCACCAGTGCTATTGTAGTACGTTTTCTTAATCTTAAAATAAGCTCACAATTTGTGCACCTGGACAATTTGCTAGCAAAATAGAAACAGGTGTGGTGGCACCAACCACCATGGCCAGCTGCTGCTGGGCAGCATGGCAACAGGAGTAGAGTAGAGTACTCCCATGGATGGGAGACTGCAATGCAACAACAAAAAGAGTCAGGAAAAGCACCATTTTCAGCCAAAAAGTGAGGCACTCCATCTTCCACGGCACTCACTCCTTCCAACGTACAGTACTGCTACAGTACTTCCAGCCGTACCGCTCCTACAGGTACAAAAGTACAGAACGCGTTCTTCCAACCTCATTGTCAAAATAACAGCATAAGCGAAAGCGCTCCACCTCCATGGTGAAACAGGCAACAACAAAGAAAGCGCCCTTCCATCATCGTTCTTCCATGCTCTTCCATAAGTGACCTCCATTGACACACCCGAAGCAGATGTCAACCTCCGTACAGTATCCTCCATACAAAACAAGTGACGTTTCGGCTGGTACATTGACTGGTTCCTACAGGTACAGTATCTCCTATACCGAATTGCTGACTGGTTACTTTACTGGTAAGAATGTACAAGCGGTACCCAGTGATTTAACGATTTTCAGTCTTGCGGGACGTTTTGAGAGGGTTCTGGTGATGTTCCGTGATGTTTTGTGACGTTCCGCGACCCTCAGAAGGTTCCAGTGAGAACCCAAAGGTCACCTCCACGTTAATTCCTACATGACACCAGTACTGAACAAGATCTATTGGTATCTTTCCTTTTCCAAACTCCTCCTCGAGTCAACTTCCTTCCTCTCATAAATCTTAATTACAGGATACCAAACAGGACTTATTGTTGAGTCGCCCCAGGACACTGCCTCTATTTATAAGCGAATTGTCCACCGGCAACTAAAGACTATAGGCCCTCTGACACTTAACTCTTCTTTAAGGCAACTATCTTCTAACCGATGCGACTCCTGTGCAGCTTCGAAAACGATTACCGATACGCATACCTTGACCGCAACTTCTACCTCTCGCGCGACTGCAAAGGCAAGAAGATCAGAACCAAGGTAAAGTTCACGACCAAGTCTAGCGAGTACGACCGTGACCAGCTCACCTACAAGGTGACTCGGAACGCAGTATTGGTAGTGCAGTACTGCAAGTGCCCGACTTGGGAAGACAACGGATATTCGATCGCACGTCCGACGAGGACTGGGCGAAAATTCTCCCAGGAACTTTCGTCCATACAGCAGAAGCCTCACGTCCAGGACCGATTCATCGTTTTGTTTGCCCCTGATCACATCCATCGTTCGGAAAAACCCGGTGTGATTTTAAGTGACGGCCAAAATCCGGGAGTGCCCAAATATTCATTGCAGGACCGCGACGAAATTTACGGACTAGAGAACAGGTTCTACACTGGTTTGTCCCCACGAGACCTTGACGATATTGCCGTTGGATTGGCTCCAGATGTCGATTGGGTCCAGGCAGGTGAAAACCACGAACCCGAAGAATCCGAGACCGAAACCGAAGACGCTCCTGAAGAAGAAGCCCAAGTGATCGAAGTCGAAGTCAACGAATCGAATCCGGAACAGCGTCAAGTGATTGTGTATTTGCCCGATTCCGACTCTGAATAGGCGTGATTGAATAACGAGAACATTAGGGTAGTATAACTTAATTCTTTTCTTCCAACCTCCAACCAACAACTTCCAAACATGGCGAGCGTGATGACTGACCGAGAAGCTCCAGTGCCATACATCCGAACAACCACCTTTAAGGCGGATGAAGTGAAGTTCGAGTATGAGCAAGCAAAAGCAAGCATAAAGAAAATCAGTTCTATAATACGGAGCTGTTGGCTACCCTCAAGAATCTCTGGGCCTAGTATCCGACAGTACAATGGTCACCTTTCATCTCTGGTGATTTGTGTCCAACCACAAAGTCTTGGGTTTGGCACTTGTGCGCTCTGGTGACTCAGGTGTGGCATGGCTGGGTAGATAGTGGCGTACCGTGCGTGTCATTGTGGGTGATGGACCACTATGTCTCCTGCCAATGTTGGCTGTGGTGGGTTGTAGCCCATCAGTTTCGATTTTAGCATGCTGCTCTGTGGTCTTGAGCATTTTAATGGGGGGTCACGCACACCACCACTTTCGTTCCACCAGTCTTTGAAGTTAACGCCGCCGCCGCAGTGTCGTTTCAAAGCATTCATGTCCTTAATAAAGAACTTCAAGTATCGATTCATCGTCTGCAATCGCAGCCACCACTGCTTTGTAGTCAAACCCATCGGCTTGATTCTTTCTCTCATGTAGTTTGTTTGCTCATTGTACGCGTCATCTTTCAGCACTACCGTACACATGAACTTTGCCATCGTGGTCTTGTATGCTTCCCAATCTGTCTTTGTTCCGTCCACTATGTTGTTCCATTCGTCAAAGCTGATCCCGTAAAGATCTTCTTTGTTGCCTTAAACAGCAGGGTTGCATCGTTGGTTTTGTTGGTTTCGATGACCTTGAACTCGGCTTCGAGTTCCGCCTGTAATTTTTCCAATGCCTCGAAGGCATGTTCCGCATCTTCTTCACTCGTGTGTCCGTACGTCTTTAGGTACACTTTTCGAGATGCCTTTGCGGTTGTTGTCTCAGTTTGTCTCGACAAGCTTTCTCTGGTCTTTCTTTTC